TTTTATTGGGGCACCCGTAGGTTTGAAGGTTTCTGCCATGCCCCAGAGTGGGGGATGGCGGCACTTGTTCTCCGGACACCGTGACTTGCCCGGAGAAAAATGTCGCCCGATGGTCGAACCCGGTTCGGCTGAGCCACAGCTGACGCGTTAGACCGCTCGGCCACCTCGTCGCCCTATTTTAATAATATGTGATGTATAAACTATAAATTATTATAATTTACCTAACGAAAATATTGATATTAAAAAAAATTGTAAAAATTCAGCCTTTTGACTTAAATAAGTATTTTTACCATATGCATTTTTCTAAAAATCAAACTTACAAATTGGCTATATTGAATATTTCGAAAAAAAAATTTATCAATTTTTAAAATTTTATTTTCAGTATTAAAAATAAAAAATGTATTCTAAAAATGTAGTGCAAGTGTCTATGGATAATATTTTAAAGAATTTTTTAAAAAATATTGATTAGACCAAAAGTTATTTCATTTGTCAAAATGTCAGATCTCTTTGGGACACTCTGTATATAGTCGCCGTCATGGCAGACCGTAACTTTCTACGGTTTTCTTATAAAACATACTTTACACGTTCAAARAATATAGGTTACCGAGTGGTTTTATTGTAAAAACACCYATGAACAAAATTCTAAAGAAGATTCATGTCTGGTTCCGTAAGAAATCCGGATTTTTGATATCTGTAAAACTTCGTATAATATTTTATGCCGTGGTAAACAAAAACAAAAATGTTAAATAATTTAAAATTTATCAAATTATTTTTAAAATGCCATTGCCTATCTCTTGAAAAAATATAAATGAATGCCTAAAGACCTAAAGACTAAAATATTAATGCTTTTTGAATTAAAATAAAATAATTCAATAAGTTATTTATATTTTATACTTCAGCACGTTCACAACCACGTGCAAATTGTGTATCCTTAAAAAAAACCAACCTCATTTTATAAAAATTTGTTAAATTAAGTAAAACACGATCTATAATGAAGTCATTCAAAAACCAATGATACCGAATGATAAAGAAAAATGTGTTGAAAAAAACCAAAAATGTATATGGGTGTTAAAAGAAACAACGTATCAGGAAACCCTATATACTTCAATAGGCTGTATGTCAACTATAGTTGACATTGGTTTTTTGTAAGATCCCCATGTAAACAATAGTTGACATGCGGTCGTGATTCGTGAACGTGTTTGTTATCAAAATTTTATGGTATATTTATTAATAGGGCCTAAATAAAAAAGAAAGGTCTAAAAATACAGTAGGCCGCTATACACTTATACACTCAAAATAGTCAAAATGTAAATCTATAAATTACCTATGAATTTAATACTAACATAAACACCCAAAGTGTATTAACTTAAAATTAAAAAATTAGTTTTAACTTTTAACATGGTTTGTATAGGAATATATTCATACGTAACACGGATGAATAGCAGCGCTCGGTGGTTTGAAAAACTACAGTACTGTAGTAGGGAATGGGACATTTCGGCGCTGCCATTTCGGCGCTGCCGTTTTGGCGCTGCCATATCGGCGATAGATATTTTCGGCGCTGCCGTTTTGGCGATGCCGATTCGGCGATAATGACAAAATATATATTATATAAGTAGACAAATAAAAAAATAAAAATGCACTATAAAATTGCATTTAAATTATATTTATTATAATAACAAAAAAATTGGAAAAAAAATTTATATTTTATTTTTACAGTATTGTTACTATAATATTTATTAGTTGTTTAGTTCTGGACGTACTAATTGGTTACTATTACTGCTAGCTATGATAAAATTGTTATTGATGATAATTTGTCATACCGTCTCATTCTAAATTATAAGTTTTAACACTGATATTAATTGACTATATTATTTTTTTTCCTAATAATATTTTTTATGAGACCATAAATTAAACATAATTTTTTACTAAAAAAATTTGACTATTATATTATTGTTATTATGTTATTTTTTTTTCTAATATTTTTCATGAGACCATAAATTAAACATAATTTTGTACTAAAAAAATGTTCACTATAACGTGAATATTGTCATTATCGCCAAATCGGCGTCGCCGAAACGGCAGCGCCGAAAATATCTATCGCCGATACGACAGCGCCGAAACGGCAGCGCCGAAATGGCAGCGCCGAAAAGTCCTAGACCCTACTACAGTACTACACTATATACTACACCATTGGCCATTGTAATTGTAACAAAATCTGACCGAAAATATTCCTTTCAAGTTCCGACACATGTCATAACCTGTTCTTTATAATCGTGATTCTAAATATAGTCATATGGTTRATTAAAATTTCCGTGACATGAGCTGCTTAGAACAATATTAGATAAGAAACAGTTATTTATAGTACCGCGACCGAACACACCAATCGGTTTCGTACCTATTTCCTATTGGCTATTGCCGCGGTTTTCGAGACTTGTTCGGTTGCGTCTTTWCTTGTTTGTTTTGGCGTTATTCATATTCAGTCACAATAGTCAATAGTTCAATACTTCAACAGTCAGCACTCACTACTCACATATTCACGTGTCTTACAGACTATAGTTGCATTTAGACAATCTTGTCATCTTAATTCTCTATCTCTCTGCTGTTGTGCTGTTACACGTGGTCTATCCTCAATTTTTGCTTGCCCGTCGATATAATTGTTAATTAATTAATTTTGACGACACTCTTAAGTCAATCACGCGATCTCCAACCATGAAACTGTTGACGCACAATATGCTATCGTCCAAGAATCTAGAAGGAGGCACTGTGGGATATCCGTTTCGCATTGTCGTGAGTGATTTCATTGTTTGTGTTCTCTGTTGTCGATAACCACTTAAYGTCGTTGTCTCCTTATTTTTATGTTGCATGTACTACTCATTATTTTCGGCAGGCTAAAGACATCAGGATATCTCATTCTGAGTTCAACAAGAATTTTTTACAGAGATTGATTCCGAAAATTAATTGGATAGTTTTTGTTAACGCAGCTAAGCAAGTAAGTAAGATCATCACTTATCACGTGCTTGTTTCAGATTTGTAACGCCAGCAATTTACATTAGAGGACATAATACTCCCATGTGTTTCCGTCTAACAAGTGCGTAACATGCAAATTTTACGCTCAACAGATCACGTTTAGCTCTGTTAGTTTAAAAATTAGAGTGAATTGACCTCTTTTAAATTTTAAAGGTTGTAGTAATATATGATAAATTCATGGGCTTTATCCTATTCTTATATTTTAATTTTGAAGCGAGTTATAAGTATTTTAAGATGTGTAAATTTACAATTTTAAAATACTTATAACTTGCTTCAAAATTAAAATTTTGTGAAAAAGGTCGTCTTAATAATACTCTTTAAAGACTACTTTAAATTTTATACACGGACAATTCACTCAAATTTTTAAACTAATAGAGCTAAACGTGATCTGTTGAGCGCTAAATTTGCAATGTCACGCACTTGTAAGACAGAGACAACACATGCAGGTATCACAACCTCTTAATGATACCATGATTTTYATATATACAGGTTTCACAAAGTTTTTGTTTTTATTTCCATTTCAGATTGGATTAGGCAAAGACCTGTCTGATAAGTTAATTGATAACTTTGRAAATGATGAAGAGTTCCTCAAAAAAGTTCACCATTTACTCTTGGAAGTAAGTCTGGCCGAATTTATTAAATACTAAAATCAAACTATAATTTTTCTAATATGTAAGACACTTTCACACTTTATAGAATAATTTTGTTTCATATATTGGTCTAATAGTAACTTATCGTTTGCCAAATCATTTCTATAATCCATAAAGTATTCTTGTAAAAATATTCCTTTCAAATATTTATCAACACTTGATGCTTTATTAACTGACATTTTAAGTTGGAAACTAATTACATTTTTATAATTTATTTGAAGTATGAATTTACTTTCAAAAATGATTATCTTATTACAAATTWAWTTYCATATCAGATCTTATAGGTAACCAATCTTGATGTCAAGATCAAAATAATATATCTGTTGATTTCATTTGAAAATGTTATTTATTTGATATTTTACTATAGTTTATTGATTGATGTTCTAACACTTTTATTTATTTTCTTTAGGTAGATATTATAAATGGTATACTCATATGTCCAGCAACAAATAGAGAGTTCCCAATATCAGSTGGTGTACCTAACTTACTGTAAAGATGAAATTAAGTATTAGTATACATGACATTTAACGAATTCCTRTACTTTTAAATCTTACATTTATTCTTTTTTATAATTTAATAAAAAATGTATTTAACCTGATTTACAATTGTATRCTGTTGATTAAAATAAAATAACTTTGTAGCAGTGATAATATGTTATTTGCATGTGTGTAGTATATTGGTACTAATACAATTTTATATTCTCTTTAAAACCTGTTTCTCCGACAACTGAAATTCAAGATAAATACTGAAGTTTGTTTTAAATCAAGCAAAGAACTTAGAACTTGTAGATTATTTTGGAAGACTCAACACACATTATATTTTAAGTCAAACATCGTTTTGAAAAAGATATGTTCTTATAAACAAAAAGAGTTGTGTACTTGTCCATATTGTAGGTACGTAAATATAATAGTGCGCTGATATTCCCTATGTTATGTTAGCAATACCATGGTGGCTTCTGTTAAAATTTTAGAAGGGATAACATTTTTAACATCGATATGAGTGGGAACATTTGTTCCCTTAAATCTAAAAAGCTTTCTATTTTTAAATGAGGACATGAGACCCCATAAACTCATACTCCCAATAACTGCCTATGACAATTGCTAGGCAGTTTGTCTTAAATTACCAGCCAATTTTACGATCCTCATATTATGATGCTTGATTGCTTTTAATACATTTCACACAAACCAACAGTGTTGCTGCTACTTCTTGTCCACAATCACTCGCTAGTCGCTATACTGGTGCACAAATATATTATATTGGTGGGCTAAGCAACTTCAACTGTAAGGATAAAAATCACGTCATACCTATGTATTTATGTCCAATAAATATTTTTTGAGTTAAATTAGTTATGAACTTGAAGCTATTTGATGAAAAAAAAAAACATTTTAGTCGTTAATTCATTTATAAATCTCTAGTTAAGTATATAGAATTAATAAAGTAATTTTTTAGATACATTGACTGAGTTTATTTGTCAATATGAATAGGACTAATGCAGTTTTTATTTTGAAGCTGCTGACATTTAATAGAATATATTAATATGACTAAAATTTACAAATTTGTATTTATTCTGAGAACARACCGAGGTCTARTCGTYGTACCACAGAACAAGTACGTTAAAGATTTTTAAAATGTGGTTCTTAAACATATAAGTTATTATTATATAACAACTTGACTATTTTAATCATAATATTATAGTAATAAATTTCTACAAGATATTAAATTTACATTATGGATTATTATTTATTACTAATAATATAAGTATATTTAATATTAAGAGTACGATAAAATATAATAATATATAAATCATGGAAAATTCAAAATAGATGTTAGTAATATGTTGTTATTACCACACGTATGTAGACTGTTCAGTGTTGTTGTTACCATAATGTCACGCAAATAATTTCAAGTTTGTTTTGATAACAAAAGGAAAACAAAAACTGTTATCGTCTTTATTATTTTCCATATTTCTGTTATTCTAGTATTCTACGTCTCTTCTAATAGTTCTAACTTAACTAAATCCATGAACTTTTCCAATTTCCATATAATATCATCATCCAATTCTTATTCGGAGTCATCAATTTGTTTTCGGTAGGCGAATCATATTTTTGTCCTCATACCCAGCTTGCTGCTCTTAGACTCCCGATGGTGGTCCCATTCGCGACGATACATTAACAATTGTCACTCTGACCAAACGCGAATTCAGACAACAAAGTAACGACTACAATATTAGTAAATTATTATTATCTTTAATATTGTCAATATGGTGCCCCATCCGATATTCGTCATGAACGCTGAAACGTCTCGTTACTACATCGACAACCTGTATACGCAAGACAACGCAAAATGCTATCAGGCGCTCAACTTCGTCAAGAACTCCATCATGGGCAGCAACAGGCAGAARGGCATAGTCATTGCCAACGGYATACTGCCCAGGCTTTTGCAGGTGATTAATATTTCCTCCTTTCTACATAAATTGTYGATCAGGATTGTTTGGCTGACTATCTGCAAAAATAAATACACTGCCTCTGGCTTGTTAGTGCCAAGAACAAACTTAGAACTACCTATTTAATAATTTCTGTTAATGTTTTACTTCTGTAGGCTCGTAATCCTTGCATGGATGGGTATAATATAATATTCACATCAGATTTTCAATGTAAYATTTATTAAATTGAGTAAAATAAGTTCTCCWTCAGTAGGCCACATTTGACTGTATGAACATTAAAATTACTATTGTATTATACTGTGTATTTTTCATTCTTATTCTCGAATTACCCAATATAATGTATGTCATAAAGTTACTTATTGCTTTTTTCCAATACTTTTAATATGAATGATAAATGAAAATACCTTAGGCAAATATACTTGATTTAATCATTCAATATTTATTATTGTTTTCTAGGTGTTACCGGACCAAACAAAAACACCAGATATCCGTCTGGAAACTGTTGTGATACTCGGCTCATTAGCCAAAGGAACTGAAGACCAAGTTAAATCACTAGTAGATGCCAATGTTGTGACGTATATATTCAACGCTTTCCTTATGAACGATGAACCAAAATTTATAGAAGCATGTCTTCGTTGCATATGTACCATTCTACAATTTCCATTTGCTGATTATTCTGTAGTGTTTAGCGATGCAGCAATTATAAGAAAGCTAATTAAAACAATTGAAGATTCTATTAGCAACAGTATTTGTGCCATGTCTATTCTATCTTATTCTTGCCGTACAACAATTCATCAAAATACACTATGGGAAGAAGGAATTGGCTTTATTTTGGCTAATCTATTAAATACTGAACTGGATGATTTGTCCATTGCCACGTTAAAATGTTTTGCTTGTGTTTGCCAAGATAACCCAATGATTTCTGCAGCTCTAGAAAAGACTGAATATAATGGCAAGACAATGCCAGAAATGTTGGACTCTATGCGAGGTGGTGACCGACCAACTAGTATGCGTTTAGCGGCATCAAAATGCATTACGTGCCTTTATCGAGCTGGAGCATTAGAAGTAAATGATTCTAAAGTAATGTTTGGAGCATTGCCAACTCTTGTGCGTTTATGTCAAAACGATCAAAAATGGGAACATCGCGTAGAAGCAGCTGAAATTTTAGCTGTACTCATTGAGGATGATGCCGAACTACAGTCATTAGCTAGCATATCAAATCACCTGTTACAAACACTAGCAGAGTTTGTGAATTATCCAGCACACCCCYTGGGAGAATACGGTGGTACTTTTGGAGAACATAGGTCTAAAGAAATGAAACAAGCTGCTTTTAAAGTAAAATTAAATTATATTTGTTTTTGTAATTCTTTATTATATATATTATATAATCATGTATGTTCTAGGTATTTGCATCTCTTGGAGCAAATGATGAAGAAATTCGTAAGCGAATTATTGAAACTGACAATTTAATTGATCACATTGTTTTAGGATTGAAAGATCCAAGCCCTAAAGTGCAATTGGCTGCTGTTCGATGTTTACATTCTTTGTCACGTTCTGTCCAGCAACTACGTACAACTTTTCAAGATCATTCTGTTTGGAAACCTTTAATGACATTATTAGAAGGTGCTTCAGATGAAATTCTGAGTGTAACCTCATCTACATTGTGTAATCTTCTATTGGAATTTTCACCATCTAAAGAACCCATTTTAGAGTCTGGAGCTATAGAGTTATTTTGCAGTTTAACCAAACGAGATGATCATTCATTGAGACTTAATGGGATATGGGCGTTAATGAATATGGCTTTCCAAGCCGAACAAAAAATTAAATCGCAAATCCTAAGTACTTTGGGAACTGACCAGATATTCAATTTGTTATCTGATTCTCATATCAACATTCTAATGAAAACATTAGGACTGTTAAGAAATTTGCTTTCAACAAAACCACATATTGATTATATTATGAACCTCTGTGGTGGTGATATAATACAAGCTGTAATGCTGATTCTCGAAGGTGATAATTTGCCCGAGGTAAAAGAACAAGCATTGTGTATTTTAGCCAACATTGCTGATGGTGACATTGCCAAAGATTACATTATGAGAAATAACGAAATCCTGAAAAAAATTCAAGAATACATGACAAATTGTAATGCAAAATTACAAGCTGCAGCAATATTTTGCGTTTCAAATCTTGTATGGAAAGAAGATAGTGGTGCAGCTGACAGACAAGCCAAGTTAAAGGAAATGGGTATTTTTAAACTCTTGCAGCAATTGATAACAACATCGGATTCACTATTATTTGACAAAGTAAAAACTGCATTGACCCAGTTTTCAGACTCTTGACAAATCAGCTGTTATAATTTACCGCCTTCTGTTGGCGTGTAACTAAAATGTTTATTATTTATTCATCCTTTCATCTTAAAACAGCCTATAACAAAAATTGTAATATTGTTTTATTTAATATAAATTATAAATTATGAAAGGCAATGTTTATTATACACATTTGTAAAAATTTCCTTTTGATTCTTATAAATCTATTGTATAATTTTTTTTTATTATCTTTATTCATTATTATATTATTTGTTAATTATTTTAACTTAGGTGATAAATATTTTGTTTTCATCATACGATTAAACTATGTATAATTTAATATTTGTATCATTATTTTTCTTGCCCAGTAAAATATACGTTTTCAATGTTTTCATTAACTTGAGATGATTTTTGTACCTAATGAAACATTAACTAGTGTGAGATTATAAAAATACAAGAATATTAATTAATAATATCCATAATTTATTTCAACATTAGAATTGCTTTTGGAAGAGAAATTTTCACATGTACATAAATATCCGATGTTGAGTTCTGTACACACATTTAATTCTAAATTCCATAAAATGGCATTATTTTAGCCTAAATGTTCATTGTAAATAACAATACAAAAAAAAAATGTTAAAGTAAGTATCGAGCACCGATATTAAATTAATGAGTAAACATAAATTGAAAATAATTATAAGTAAATTATAATAATTTTTTATTTGTTAAAAGTAAAAAAAATTATATGTATATATATAAATATATAAATAAATAATAATTAATAATATATGATTTTTTAATAAATTTAAATTATTGTGACCCAGTCATGAAGAAAGGTTACATCATTG